ACTGTTTGAAATGTACCAATTTCATTTTATACTTCAAGATTTTTCTAGGTATTATTTCAGATTCTTTATCTACATTTCCCAAGATAGTAATAAGGATATCTACCAGGCAAACACATTTGACTTTTAGAAGACATTTAAAACGGAAAGATGGTTGGCAAGGAGAGTGCTGCAGACGGGCAAGCAGCAGCTCCGGCTGGATCCGTTTTGAGAAGGCTCTGAGCTTGGAGCCTGTCTGCTGTGGTCTCTGGCTGCACTGATGAGTTTGTTGTGACCACGGAATAGACCAGCAGATCTCAACCTAACTGACTGTTGATATAGCTTTCTGACGGCTTGTTGGTCATGGAGTCCCTTAGCATGTGATTAGTCTATTCTGGAGAAGTGGGACTAGAGCAACATCCAGGAACTGTTGGGCTCTCCAGGAAAGATGGTTGCTTTGAGGGATACAACAATCCCTTGTGAAGTGTGGAACAATAGGTGCTCCCTGTGCTTGTGACATTCTCACTGCTTGTCTGCTTTGAACCAGAAAGCTTGTGTAGCCACTCTACATTAACAACATGGAGACTACCCAACCAATACTAACAAATGTTTTTTTCCCTTTGATGTCAAAGCTAATGACAGCACATCAGCTCCACCAAGAGGGCAAGAAAAGGTTTGTTACTCACAAAATGTGACATTCTTGGGTACAAACAAGGCAGCTCCCAAACAGTTCCTAGGATAGGTGGGAGGGCAGGGAAAGGACACTAGCTTGTGATTTTTTTTTGGGGGGGGGTGGGGAATATATGGGATAAGGGTTCCCTTAAGTCATTTGAATTTGTTGGTGTCAAAAGAAGGATCCACTTAGGTTTTCCCATCAGCTTGTCCGGAGAGGGACAGAAGGAGTGAGGCTTTAAAACTGTCGGCACCAAACACCAAAAAATGGAGTCAAGAACAGGGCATCAGATCTCCTGGAACTGGAGTTATATGGATAACTGTTAGCTGCTGTGTAGGCGCTGGGAACTGATCCCTGGTCCTCTGCAAGAGCAGCCAGCTCTTTTTTTTTTTTTTTTTTAAATGGAAGAATGATAATCCACTGTGTCTGTACCATATGAATTTATATATTAGAAGGTAAGGCAGTGATAAAATTGTCAGGCATCAGCATTAGCAGGACAGGAAAACATTAGCCTAGATTTCAAACAAGAGTTAAGGGAATATGTGATCCTTGGATGCTGTGTAAATTAGAGATGATATTTAAAGATATGAGAGTAACCATTCCAAAGGTCAAAAATGTTGAAAGTATTTGGGAGTTCTTATCTAATACTTAAAAAATTTTAGGGTTTCCTCTTCAGAGGAGGGAATATTAGAGTAGCAAAAAGAAGAAAGAGTACATGAAGTTATCAGAAAAAAGTGATGGGGGGATCAGAAAAAAGTGATGGGGGGATCCTCCATAAGGAGGATTTGGAGGGGAGGGAGTGGGCATGGATTTGATCAAAACACCTTATATGCTTATGTGTCTATATGAAATTCTCAATAAATTATTTAAAACATTTTCAAAAATGTGGAAAAAAAGACGTGAGAGTAAATATCATCTCCAAATTGAAATTACATCCATTGGTGATTGCACTGGCTGTTGGGAGATACCACCTATCTCTTCATCTGCTGTGAGGAAATTCATGGGAATTACACTTGTAGATCAATTCAGGATCATTCTTATGCAGAAAATTTAGCGAAGCCAAATGAGTGAACATACATCTTGAGTTGTTCATTTGGTTGAGCATCTGTCATTGGTAGCATGGAGCTGTGTTTTGCCTTGCTGACTCCTCTTCTGAGGATTTTAGGGTTTTTGTTCCCCTTGTTCACTGATTCATGTGGAAAATAGTTAACATCAAGCCAAGTGTTTTAGATACTTACTAATGCATCTCTAAGAACTATTTCATTTTCCTCCAAATGATAGGCAATTAGTCCATTTCCCCTTTGTCAGTTTTGCTGAAAGTTATATAAATTTAAGGCATACTCATGTGATGATTTCCTATGTCAAAATGATCACTGCAATCAGGTTAGTCACATACTCATCCTCTCGCTTAGCTACTTTGGGTGGTGAGAACATTTAAGACCATTAAATACTAACAAAGTTTTAATTATTTAATTTTTTCTTTTGAGACAGGGTCTTACTATGTAGCCTAAGCTGGCCTCAAACTCTCCATGTAGCTGAGGTTGGCCTGGGACTCACTATGTCGTCCAGGGAAGTCTCAAACTCCAGATCCTTCTGAGTACTGGGATTATGGGCATGTACTGCCATGCCTGACTATTAATATAGGACTTAAAAAGGAAATTCAACAGAGCAGAGCATGAGTAGCTTCAGATTTGCCTGTTTATGATTAATAGTCCATTTTTAAATTTAAATATAATCTTTGTTTTTTCCAAACATAATCTTCCGTCTCTCAAATAATCTCTGGCTTTTGCTCCTAGGCTATATAAAATAGATGACAACAATGAATTAGTTTTAAATTTCTTGGTATCTCTGTTTGTACTGAATATGTAGTAGAGATAATAATTAATAGATTTTCTTAATTCTTAAGGCAGTTTAGCCCATGTGTTCAGTGTTTTATTTGCATCTCCAGCATTCTCTTTGTATAGAAATGAGTTTCCATGTTGTTTACACTGCCGAGTCTTACCAAAGCTTGGTTCTTCTGTTAGGTGGTGAATGCAATCTTTAATCTTACAGTCTGTGTACATATGTGCATATGTGGCATGTGCCTGTGTGTATGCGTGTTTACATGTGTTTGGGTATAAATGTGTGAATGTAGAGTCCATAGCTTGATTCTGAATGTCTTCTTCCATCACTCTTCACTTTATTTATTGAGTCAGGGACCCTCACTGAACCCAGAGCTCACTGATTCTGGCTAGTCCAGCTAGCTAGCTTGCCTTGGGGATCCCATCTCTGCCTCCCAAGTGCTGCAATTTTAGGCGACCACTATGCCTGCCCAGCTTTTTCATGGGTTCTGGGATCCAAGCTCTGGTCCTTACAGTTGCTTTTGTAAGTACTTTTATCTGCTGAGCCATTTCCTCAGCCTCTAGGGTTTTCTTTTAAGAGAATCACCCCATGGAATTGGAGGGCTAGTCTAAACTCTATAGCACTCCTGCTTTGTGAAGTGTTCAGTATCTTCACTTCTTTGATCTCTTCTGTGTGTGGCTTTTAGATACACTTTGCATAGGAATGCTAAAGAGAGAATAAGCCTGGGCTGGGGAGTTAGCTTTGCTGGAGCTGTTCTTATAGAGGACATAGAGGACCTGGATTCAATTCTCCGCACCACATGGCAACTAACAACCATCCCTAACTCTAGTTCCAGGGGATCTGATGCCCTCTTCTGGCCTCTGTAGGCAATGCACACATGTGGTACACTTATATACATGTAGGCAAACACTAATACACATAAAAAATAGTTAAAAGAATGACTTTTAAACAGAGAGAATAAACCTAGAGTTTGCTTTTCTGTGGAGCCTAATGGCTAAACTAGCTATACAAAACATTTATTTTGGAATTGCCTGAAAAGATGGTTTTCACAATAGTTGTCCTTTTAAGTCCATTACATGGCTTCCTGTTACCTCCCCCAGGTACTCAATTGTTTTAGTTCAGTCCAACTTGGAAATCTATAAATAGAAAGAGCTGTCTGTTACCTTAAGAGGTAAGGCATAACAGCAGGGCAGCCCTTAACAGAGTGATAACCCTTGTAGGTGGAGGAGCTTGCCCAACATGTATACATGGGCTTTTTATATAGTTACTTTGTTGTTGTATTTTGGAACAGAATCTCACTGTAGCCCCAGCTAGCCTAGAACTCACCATATAGACCAGGCTGGCCTCAATCTCACAGAGATCCACATGCCTCTACCTCCTGAGTGCTGGGACTACATGGCTAGTCTTTAATTTTTTTTTTAAAATTTTTAGTCTTTTTGAGACAGGGTCTCCCTGTAGCCCCAGCTGTCCTGGAACTCACTATGTAGTCCAGGCTGGCCTTGAACTCAGAGAGATGTGCCTGTCTCTGCCTCCCGAGTGTTGGGATTAAAGGCATGCGCCACCACGCCCGGCTGTCTTTCATTTTTAAGAAAGGAAAATAGCAAGAGTCAAGAGCAAACTTCCCTATTAGCCATTCCAAAGGTTGTATGGTGTCACTGAAATTAGTCTGCAGGACCCGAATTACTTGTGGATCAAAAACACTCATATGATGACTATGAATGAATCTTCCACACATATCTACCCTTGCAAACTGGAATGCTGCTTTATAGGCATGTGTCCAGCCAGATGGGGTAGCTCTCAACCTGTGCTCTTGTTTGCATCTGGGTAAGAGAGATGCAGGATTCTCTTTAAGCAGCACAAACTTGGTTATCCCTCTCTAGCAAAGAGTGGAGGTAGGCAGAATTCAGGATCACACAGCGATGCTGTGTTCCCTTGTGCTTTGCTGCCAGCAGGCTGTTATCCATACACGTAAAAGGTTGTTTGAAGTGTGCTTACACATGTTTCCATAGCAGCAGTCATATCAGCATTTTGGACTTTCCCCCCCTCTTTTTGATTCTCTGACTCCTCGTTGATACAGGATTAAACAAACAGCATATTTAGGTCAAGGAAAGAGATGTTTGCTAATAGAGATGCTAGGCGAAGCATTCTGGGAGAGTGATTTCTTGCAGCAGATGAGCATCCTTTGTGCCTTCAGCAGCAGCATCTGCAGCGGTGTGGCTGTCTGGCACCGTCTTTTTCATTTTGGGCAGGTTCTGAGATTCAGAACAATCCCAGACAAATCACAGGAGCCGGCACTTTCCCAACAACCCCATGTAAATCTTCTGCATAGCTATTCTCTGTTTTAATAGGGAAGCAGTCCCCTGGAAAAAAACGATACTTTGAAGGTCTTGCTACATCTGAGGTGTGTCATGTTGTTTTTGCACCACCCACCCTTCCTATTTTACACTGGGAGCCTGGATTTTTTTTTTTTTTTTTTTTTTTTTTTTTTTTTTCCAAGACCCATCATTTGTTCTAGTGAGACAGCTTGAAGCTTCCCTTCTGTTCAGTGCCGGTAACTGTTTGTCATGAAGACAGTACGGTGGGAGCCTGTGTCTGAAGAGCCAAGGAAGCTGATGTGGAAATGGAGTAGATTGCTAGAAATCTGAACATCCACACCTTGGGGATGGGTTGCACTACTAGTGTGATTCTCTTCAAAGGCATCCGCACCGTTTTTGAAAGAAACTGTGCTTACATGTGCAAGCAGCAAGGCGAGAATACTGCCCTTGAATATGCAGCATACAATTGGACAAAAGAAGACTCAGAACTATTGATTTCCTCCTGTCTGGTAAATGCTGCTTCACTTAATTAACAATTTAATAATGTTAGAATAAGGTAGTTTTTTATTTGCAAAATAACCATTTCAGTATGCTTATGTGTTTGTATATATGTACATATACTCTTATGTATATATAGTATCTGTGTATAAATGAGTGGTCAGTGGCCTTAGATTTAAATCTTGAGGTGCCTCTCTGTATGCATGAGGGTGTCATGTATTAATGCAAGCTACATACAGATAGAGGAAATGGAGTAAGGTGTTTGATCACAGACTAGTTCTTTAAGGTAGCTTTATAAGCATCCAAGCTCTTGGTATAATCTCCACAATGATGGGTAGCAAAGTATATTTTCAGAGAATCATATGCCACCCCTCGCCCAGTGATGGCCAATTATTCAGTCCCCTTATATCTTAGCTTTTTACTTGGCTAGGTTTTTCTTGCTGATAGCTTGTGGTCAGTTCTTTGATTCAGGGAGAGAAATGTAAAGGGAGCATGAAAAAAAAACCTGTAATGATGGGAATGGAGTCTTATTTCCTTAAAATCCAACTCTAATGTTTTTGGGTACAGGGCCATGAGAGGAAACTGAGTTTGAGCCGGTGTGTCTGTGTTCTCTCAGTGCTTGAAGAGGTGTCAGGTCACAGATGGGTGTGCCTCCTGATGATCTTCTAATCTGTACCAGGCTTATGAGGATGCCACATACTGCTCTCCTCCTCCCTCAGGATGCCTTGCCATTTTGCCTTCTGTTCTTAGCACAGTTTTTGTCAAAATGAGTGGGGACAAATATGTGTGGGAATCTCTGTGTGGGAATCTTACTGGCAGTCGCTTGGTAGGATGAGGCATGCAGAAAGATAGGAACCCTTCCCAGTGGTGAAGCTGCCATGTGAGCCTGAGGAGGGAGTGTTGGGGTGCCATATGCACCTTGGGATTGGATGTGGTAATCATAGACTTCAGGAATCTGGGAAGAGTATGTGTTTTGTGGAGGGGTTTATGTGATTAGCACTGGAAATACTTGGGAGAAAGAAAAGAGAGAGCATCATTTGAGATGCCAGATGCAGTCTGGAAGTCAGTGTTATATTTGGTATGGGATTTAAGTGGTGCTATATTAACCATTAAATATTTTAAGCTCTGATGTATTTTGGAATGTGCTTTGGAGAATAACCAATGTTGGAGATTGGAAGGACCAGCGCATTACTGTGCTCTGTCCCATTAGCGTACCTATAGCCAGCAGCCTAGGATCTACTTGGGCCATTCAGAGAAGTGCTCCCCTTATGCTCCAGGCTTGTGTTCCACAGGGCTAGACTGCCTTGTCTTTCTTTAACCTGACTTGAAGAGGCTCCACCTGCTTTCCTTTTCTATTTGACTGCACAAGAAAATAGTAACCTGCCAGGGGCTTTGTCAGAGCTCTGGGCCTGGGTTTCTGGCATACTGCTTTGGTCTACCATGTGGTCTGCTGATACCTATCAAGACACTGCTGGATGGGTAGATCTCATTGGGTTTCTGGCTTCTGTCTATTGGGTTTCTGGTTTCTGGTCTTCTCTCCACATAGTGGACAGTCAGCCTTTGGAAAGAAAGCCAGGCCTGGTCACTTCTCTGCCCAGGACCCTCTGGTAGCTCAGGGCAAGCATGAACTAGTATGTGGTACAGGAAACCAATGCAGCCTTCTCCACATAGGTTTCCTGTATCACCTACTAGTTCATGCTTTCTCCTCTGTTTGCTCTGTCCCTGCCCTTCTCATTCTTCACCTCACTTTGGCCACTGAAGCTGCCTTATTGGTCCTTCTTCCTGGGTTATTGCCACCCATTGTGTGGCTCTTGACTGGGCTCCTCCAGGTCTTTGTTCAGATCTTCCTCCTCACTGAGGCTCCTGAAAATGCTTTATGTTACCCCCATAGCACCCCAGCCAGCACTTTCCTTATGCTTGTAGTTTTCTTGTAGTACTGATCGCCACATGACATACCCCTAGTCCAAGAGAATACACACACACAGTCATAGTAATCAGTTGTGTTGCACTTCAAATATACAAACAGCATTGCTTGTGTGTGTCTTACACACTTCTACTGCAAGAATAAGATTCATGATGGCTGAAATTTTTGTCTGTTTTGTTTGTTGCTCTAAATGTAGTAGCTAGAGTACTGTGTCACAGTCAGTACAGTTAATGAGTGAATTCTTTGTCAGAATTATATTTATTTGGGGGAGGATGGTAGTGAGTTATTTGGGGACTTGCTAGTGCAACCACACACAGGTGGAGGTTAGAAGACAATTTGGGTGAGTTGGCTCTTTCCTTTCATGATGTGGGTCCTGGGGAATCAAACTTAGGTCCCTAGGCTTGGTAGCAAGTGCCTTTATCCACTGAGCCATCCCATCAGCCCTCTTTTCTTTTTCGAAGCAGAGTTGAGGTTTTATTAAAAACAGAAAGAAATGTGCTTAAGAAAAGAATAAAAGCACACTCCAGAGTGTGGGTACAGACTTCTAAAGAGGGAGCTGTCTAGGGGTGAGTTCTGAAGTGGTTTTATGGTCCTCAACTGGAGAAGCTGTGAGAGGATAGTTTATAAGCACTCTAAAGCCAAAAGGAATGTATTTTTTCCTTGCCAGCTTTCCCCCAATGGGTGCTGGCTCATCTTTAAAAATCTCTCCTACCCTGTTGACCATTCAGCTCTGTAGGTTATACTTTTCAGCCTCTTATCTTAGAGCTGCATCATGAATTCCTAGGGGTCAAGGCTGAATGTTTTCTGGGTTTGCTTGCTCGTGGTTGATAGCTGATAAAACTGTCTCTGGCTGTTATTCACATCACCTTTATTGAGACCTATTCCATGGCATTTCAGGACCTTATTGACCTTTGGCTTGAGTCCAAACCCAGTGTCCCTCCCTTGAGCCACCTCCAGGCAAAGGCCTAATCCTCAGGCAGATGTGGGTCCTTGTCAGTATCCCCAGCCTTCATTGGGAGGATGTCTGCCCTGCCTGCAGCCTAGGTGTTGACTCCAGATTGTGGCTCCATCGTGTCACAGGTACGATCTGAACTTCACTTGCCCTCAGAGCAGTGAGTACCTAAGCACTCAGCACATGTCATCCTTGTTGGCGGGAATATGCTGTTCATGATGGTGAGAGTCCTGAGTGGAATTTCTTCCTCTGAACTAAGCTTTGTGTTTCTCTCTTGTCCTATACCAAGGCACATCACGAGAGACATCCTGTGACAGTGAAACTCACTATAATAGGATGAGCGGGTACAATGCTTTCTTGCTTTTGGGTCAGTGAGACACTACAGTCCAATTAAGAGTGTTATTCTAGAGAGCTGGCTCAGTGGTTAAGAACACTTACTATTCTTCCGGAAGACTTGAGTTCAATTTTCTGCACCCATGTCAGGTAGCTCACAACTGCTTGTAACTCCAGTTTGAGGGGCTCCAATGCCCTCTTCTGGCCTTTGTGGACACTCACATGCACATGCACTTACATACAGATACACATACATGTAAATAAAAATAAATCTTAAAAAAAAAGTGTGATTCTGGGCAGCCTTTGGTGCCTGAAGCCCAAATCTATAATTTGTTAGCTGTGTGTGTGTGTGTGTGTGTGTGTGTGTGTGTGTGTGTGTGTTACAGTTCTTACGTCTGAACTGTGTGGTCCTAGCACCTCACTCCCCCAAACCCTTTCAGTTTAAGAATACATGTATATGTATTCAGACACACCTATGCACATATATGCATATATGCCTGTGTATTTGCATTGCTGGAATTCTTGATTATAGTTCCTGAGCCTCTATCTAGAACTGGAGTTACAGATGGTTGTTAGCCACCATGTGGGTGCTGGGAATTGAACCCAGGTCCTCTGCAAGAGCAGTCAGTGCTCTTAACCGCTGAGCCATCTCTCCAGCCCCAAGTGTTCAAGTCTTAAATTTCAAACATAGGTCTCAATTCTAACAGGTACGTAAGCCCAGTCATATGTGTGTGTGTATTTGTATTTAAAAAATTTTTTAAAATATATTTTATTTTATTATTTTCATTTTATGTGTATGAGTGTATTGCCTGTATGTATGTGAGTGCACCCGTGTCGTGCAATGCCGCGAAGGTCAGAAGAGGGTGTCAAATTCCCCTGGAACTGGAGTTAAGGACGGTTCGTAGCCACCATGTGGGTGCTGGGAATCGAACCCGGGTCCTCTGCAAGAGCAGTCAGCGCTCTTAACCGCTGAGCCATCTCTCCAGCTCCCGTATTTGTATTTTTTTAAAGATTTATTTTTATTTTTGTGTACCTGAGTGTCCTGTGTTAAAGTATTTTATGTGAATGAAGATGCCCCAGGAGGCCAGAAGGAGGTGTTAGATTCTTAGGAGTTGGAATTACAGGTGGTTGTGAGTCATCTGACTTGGATGCAGGGAACTGAACCTGGGTCCTTTACAAGAGCAGCAAGTGTTCTTAACTGATGAGCTATCGCTCTAGGGCCCCCCGCCTTTTAATTTAATTTTTTAATTGGGCACGGAGGCTGAGAGGCTGGTTTCAAACTCTTAGGCCCAAGAGATCTTTATATCTCACCCTCTTAGGTAGTTGCAACTACACAAAAGAATTAAAAAAAAATTATTTGCCTTGTACTTTTATTTTTTGTTTGGAAAATTTTTATTAGTATTACTTTAAAAATAACATGATTACATTGAGAAACTATATAGATTGAATAATTTGGAAAGAGTGAATGCC